CAATGAGAGCATTCCACAGTGAGCTTTTGAAAACAATGCAAAGTGCATTGAAATCCCAGCCCAAGTTATAATAGGTATACTTGTCTTGTAAACCCGTGTCGTATTATAAATACAATATAATTATATAAAAATAATATATAATAATTGTAAATTATTAAAAACACAAACAATTATATTTTAAACGTTTTATAAAAAATACAATATTTTAATTATGCTCAACAGTCGACTTACTAATATTCCAAACAGAACCTTTAATGGATATTTCCAAAATAAATTCTTCTACTTCGCAACTCATATTGATAGTTAATCAATAGTCAAAAATAGTATAAATAATATTAACTTGGTATAAAAAACGCATCATATTTTTTACAAACATATAACAAAATACAAATTACAATGTAAAATATCAATTGATCGGGGTTCGAGAGATTTGATGAAGGATCCCAATTCACGGCCATTATCGAACATTGAGTTTTATTCTAGATAGCCAGATAGGTTATACTGGGTTTACCCATGGTGGTGGATTATCGCATAAAGTAACTCTGAACTCGATTAATTTCTTTCGAACGCCGTGACTTTTATCCAAGCGTGCAGGAAGCGATTATTATTATTATATACCTATAGTCTGAATACGTAGACTTATGGGTGGTTAATTTTAAGCAAATCTGTTCACGGTGGTTTATGTTCGCCACGTGAACATCATTATATTATAGTTATTAGTTACTGAGATCCACAGTTGGCACAGTTTGTGAAACCACCTGTCTTAAGTATCGCACATTCGCAGTTCACACGGACAACTAATTATCACGACAGCTGAGAACGGCCGTCTGATTTATATTATTATTTATATTATATTGTCAGTGACTGAAAGGGTAAATACTCGCAGTTTACCACTGAATATAATTTTTATTCATTGGCTATACTTTCACATTTTTTAAGCACAATTTATCACTGAATACCTACCATATTTCCTACTTTGTCCGTATGTAATACTGTAATATTATAATAAAATATACTTTGTTTAAAATTTTTTGAAACGTATATCCGTTTATAAAGTTTTTCAACGTCCTGTATGGGCTGTAAACATAATAATATATTTATGTATTAGGTTTTACTGAAACGAATGGGCAACTGGTTTCCACTTGAAAAAAATTGTCTCGGTCAACGCTGCAGGTGTCCTCACCTATATTATATGGGGGTTGTGTTATAATGTATATAAAGAGGTACTCGTGGGTAGCTAGTAGCGACTATACCTACAGTGGAGCGAATTCCGAAGACACTCTGCATTTCTTTATAGCCCCTCGACCATAATAATGATTTATGCCACCTATTTTTTTTAATTCCATGAATAAACAGATCTATATCCCGATATCCGTATACTGTAACAAGTTTATATCTAATTCAAATGGACATCATAATAATAATAATATAACGTTAACAATTTATTAGGTTACACAGAAGACAGAACTACGAATAGAAAATTGGGTCTTTGATATTTTGTTATACCTTATACCGTATAGATCAGTTATACGTGATATCACATCAAAAAGTTCTCTCGTTTACATTTTTGCTCTGCACTAATGCCTTGTCTGGTATCTGCAGACTATCCAAGCATTGTATTTGTATCAAATTGACTTATAATAGAGATTCCCTCAAAATATAAAAACAGTAGATGAGGTTCATCGTCTATGCTCTTGCACCACCATTAGTATGTATACGTTTAATAATGTTGTATAACTTTATAGTCATTATAATATGATATGAAATCATCGTGGTTTGTCACGTGGAGACATACCAGCACTATACATTTCATATCCAAAATAATCGCCCGTACCACATATAGACGTACCTACCCAATGTTAGTAATATTTACGTTTTGTCATAAGTCATAGCTTTGTAGAAAATCGTTATGAACAATTAATTTTCGTCGATGAAATTATACATGTAAAATGTATACCTATCGTATATTGTATAGGTATTAATGTAATTCTTGGTGGTAATAAACGAAAAGCGAAAACGTCTTAGACTTTAGAGTGAACATCATTTGCAATTAGGTATATCGATAAATAATAGCCTCATGGGCTATATAAATGGATAGGATTACTATTAATACACGAGCCTCAGTCACTGCAAAATTCGTGTATCGATCAGGCACGTATAGAGAAAAAACAATTCTGGAAGGGGTTCATAAGAAAAAAAAAAAAAAAAATATTGTTAATTTATCGTAATAGCGTGTTATCACAAAAGGGTTCGAAATCGGTCTTTATATAAATCATAAAGGCAATGAAACAGCAGAAAAATAGCGATATTCAAGTATTCAGCCTAACCCCACCTCTCGCTGGAACAACTACCCTATGGCGATATTAAAAAGTACATAAAAGATAAAACGTCGAACAGAAATGGTGAAACTGTGGAAACTGCCATCTGCAACAATGAAGTGCCTGGATACACCAGAAAACCACGACACTTCACTTTTTCCAAAACTCCAAACCCGAAACAATGTTATAATTTATAAAAACTACCAACTTGTATAAACAAAATAAAAAACCAAAAATAAAAAAAAATTCCAATGTTTTATTGTAATTATAAATTTTTTTCTCTTAATGTTGTATTCATTCCTCACGACAACATTTAATTTATGGTATCTGATATTGCATATATTTAATCAACATTGTCAAGAAAACAAATTGAAACCATTGGGCATTGGCCTTCGAAGCCGATGTTCCTTTTTTTGAGATTAATAAACAAAAACCATAAAGGTCTATAGGGAACTTTTTTTTGGGGGGGGGAGGGGTTGAAGCATCCACAACATATACGTGCCCGGCAGTTGCCGTTATGGGTCTGTGGGTTAGGGGTCATATCCCCCTTTGTCATAAAAAAAAAAACCAACAAAATTCATTTTAATGTATTATTACTTATAATACCCTCCCCCACCCTTTGAAAATTCCTGGGCACGCCCTGGTGTCCGGTATTAATTATATTCTTGCGTTTTCGCAGAAGACGTTGTTACGATTTTTCGTAATTCACGTCATTATAATATATTTTAACCAACGGGATTAGGTCGTTGCAGGTGCAGTAAATTGACTTTGAATTCGATTTTCTTACAAATACCCACAGACCGTTATGCACGCGCGTATACTCCCCCCCCCGCCCACCATAATATATTATAAATATTATCATTTAAACCGCATTCATTCGAGTTGTCTGCAGCGTTTTTATGGACGATAATAATATATATATAAAATATATATAATATACGCTCTACACGCTCTACTTCTGCTGGGCGCTTATATAAGTATATATACCTATATTATATTATATATAAACGTTTTATTTCTTCACGCCTTTTACCGAAACGACGGTTTTCCGCCCTCCCTCCAACACCACCACCACCGCCTCTTCATACTTCTCCTCGTCTTTTCACGTCGTATTTTTATATTCACCGCGTGCGTGCGGCGCAAAGGCCTATGTATAGAGGTATACGCGTAGGTAGCGCATATATAGCTATGTGTACTGCAGCTGCCGAAACGAGCTTCCGGCTATAAGAATAACGCGCGTTCAAATCATAAATCCACCCCGGTTTTCTCCTCCATAAAAAAAAAAAGGAAAAAATAAAAAAAATAAAAACGGTAGTCGCCACGGTAATTCCGAATTTATCGCCGCGGGACCGACCGAGGCCCTTTCGGTGTTCACGCTTTCCGGGCAATTTCATTTTAATTTTCAGCCTCCACTCTCCACTGCTGCGGCACTTGCTGTTCGTCCGTCGCTCCCACGTGCTCCGGCAGCAGCCAGTACCTATACGTATACGTCTTTATACATATGTACAGTGATGTAAAGAACTCGAGTCACCTACCACCTTATCACAATCTCCAACAGACCGTATTTTGTGTTTTTTTTTCCGTCTAGTCGTTTTGCTCGCACTGCATAAATATATTATTATACGCATACGACTGCCGGAGGTCGGTGTATGTATTTCGTTATTGTTTTATTGCTTTCGTCGACGAGACTAAATGTAGCGGACAACCTCTGACCGGGACACCGCGCCGAGTTTGCATAGTATCATAATAGTAGGTTCCTATATTTTATTATTATACTACAGGGAGTTGGAAGACATTTCCCACCCTCTCCTCCCAGCGACACACAGTTGTACATATTTATGGAGAACATTAAATTATTATATAGGCGTGCGCGGACTTTGGTCTCAACTGTCGTAGGTACATATTGAACACAGTCGTCAATACAATATTATTAATTAATGTAATATATATGTAATATGGGTGGGAATATTTGTAATCTGTAAATTATTTACATGGGTCAGGCCAGTGAGGCGAGAAATACTGAGGTGACAATAATATTTTTCTTTATAACATCGCCGTACTCGCGTTTTATGTTTGTTTACACTTTATTAAAAGCGTTTCCGATCTGGAACCCCGAGTTGTATATTATTTCAAGTCATCTTCGTTCTTACTTTTTAGATCAGAATAGTGCTCACTGCTCAGACACACATACCTATAGTCAATGAAGTTTATTTAAATTTAATAGCACTCCGGTTGTGGGGTCCTTATAGTCATTCCAATTTTGAGGAACGGACGTAGAATCGACAAACGCATATTATCTTATTTATTATAGAGAGAGTCATTAGTAGGGCTAGGGTTTATATGCAATAAAAAATGATGAAATATGCATTTTGTGTTCTTAAAAATATACTAAAATATACCACATAAATATTATTAAATAGAAACATTTTTTATAAATTGTTTTCAAATACCTATATTAATACTCTAAATAAATATGCTGAAATACGCCAAAAAATATGATAAAATTAACACCTACCTAAAAGAAAAACATTAAAAAAATTATAAAATCTATAAAATTATTAAAGCTAATCAAATGATCCGGAATATGTTTACCAGTATATTTTTGCAAGAATTTGTTAAAAGTTGTATTATATATTATAAATCCATAAGGGGATATCAGAAGCTAAAAATGCTTGACATAAATCAAGGGAAAATTCTGAGTTCTGATCTTCGAATGGGTCTTTTATAAATATTTGTTTGATTTTTTTCTTTTCTTGTTGATTTATTGAGGTGCTTTGCTGTACTTAAATGTTGAGTTACTTGAAAGCACTTATTTGATGAAACTGCTTGCTCACAAATATTACAAAATAGTGTTTTTCCATCAGTTTTAAAAACTATACTAGAAAATTCTTCAACATTTTGTGGAAGTTTTGCACGGGCACTTTGTTTTTTTGGCATTTTAACGAAACTAATACAGTTCGCAAACCACCCGGCAAAGTATATCACCACACACGCGATATAAGATGATGATTCGGTTGAAACACATGCTAAATAACTAATAACTATTCTCTATAATCCAGTACAGTATTTTACTATTTATATATTGACAGTACAATTATAGGTAACCTTTAGCTTACGGGTTTGCGACGATATGATATAAGATAGATTAAAATATTAAATAACACTTAAGTATTTTTGTACAGCGATTACATTAATTGTGACAAAATTTACCATAAAACATTCATTTTTCTAGTTTTCTATAGTTAAAATATGCAATGATATTAATTTTTTCAAAATATGCAAAAATATTCTTTTATCCAAAATATACGAAATTATACAAAAAAAAAATACCACCATCTACTTCATCATGAGCTGCTGATTCGTGGACATTACTAACAAAAGTAATAATCAGAAGTTGCAAAAAAAAAAAAACATACCAATCCATATAAATCTTAGCCGTAGTTATTAGCTTAGAGCTTAGAGGGTAAGGGGTTTAGTAGGTTATACCATGTATCTCTCTATATGGGTGATACCACACAACGTATGCGACTGATAAAATGTGCTCCCCAAAAATATAAATGGCCTTAAATAAATCCTCATACCAATGCTTTAAAAATAACTATTTTTTTAAATATTTTTATTATGTTTAGGGCTTCGACGACTGAGATCATTGGCCTGTAGGTTGGTAGGGTTGGTACAGTAGGGTTGGGACGATTGGTACTGTCGGTTAGGAACACATATTGTATGTGTGGCAAGGTTCCGCACTACGAACCCTGGTGGTCACCCATCCGAGAACTAGGGGCAGCGGCCGTTGCTTACTCTTAATCACGTCGCGTGATTGATTTCAGCCATTGCGCCGCGCCGAGCTACAAAAAAGAAAAAAAAATTACTATTATTACTATACAATGCATGGCACTTTCTGACTGGAAAATAATATGTTTTTCAGGTTTTTTTTATACTTTGGAAAATAAAAACATATTTTATAAAGACATGTCAATTGAAAAGGATATAATTCCATAATTCTTGTAACATAATTTATCAAGCCATGAACATATTATCATTATCGACCTTAAAATATCATCTATTGTACCTACTAGGTACCTACTTAATTAATTTTTTTTCTTGTTATACTTTTGGGACTTCGTTCATATGCTCTCTAAAAAAAAAGGGTTTGCCTCAGCTCGCAGGGCATGCAAACGCATATCCTGAATTCCTAAATACCCCGTGTGTGCCTATAGAGATAAGGTTACTTTAACAATATTTTTTCGGATCCATATTTTATACATTTTCCATATTTTATAAGTCGGTTATTCACTGCAGCAGATATTATTCAGTTGTCATCTGCGGGTTTCGAATACTTTGAATTAGGTATATTATTATTGTACACGATGTATAATGGCTTACAGGAGACGATAAACGATTATTATTATTAGTATTCAAGTATTCAACGTTTGTGGGCGTTTCGGCTGACGATAATTGCAGGTAATATTCGCCGTCTGCAGCCTGCAGTAATGGGCTTGCGGTCATCCGGATATGCGATCACGTAGCAGTATTATTATACACATAAAATATAATATTATATGGGTAACCGCATAAATACGATACCGCGTTATGGGTTAGGTACTTGTGTGCATACGTATGTGTACCTTCCGTCTATGTCGTCGTCGTAGTCTCCGACTCCAATCGTTTTCTGTCTTATCGCCATCGACGTCTCTTGATCCCTCTTTTCGAAATCTTTAAGTTTAGGTATACGTCCGATGAGACGTTTCTCCGTCGCGTCGATCACTTTCACTTGTGTTTAATGACAGTCACACTCAAAATTTATTTTATACGTACCTACAGCATACCTGTTCAATGATCAAATATTATATTACCGTGTAGGTAGATACACGTCTGTTGAATAATTACAAATTAGCTGGTACATCGCAATCGGCAGATAGATTTTGGTTATTTTCCAAAACAATTTTTTCAAACGGCTATAACTGTGCAACTCAATATTTATTTTATTTTTTTAATCTAATTTTAAATCTCGAAACTCAAACGTGTTGTTTTTGAACGGTGAAGTACATATAAAATTACATGAAAACCCATGAATAAAATATAGCGTAAAATGTTATTTTTCCAAGAATTTTTACTATGTTATTTTACTTAATAATATTTAACATTAATTGTTTATCTATCCACTAATTCGGAATTTCACTCTAAATTTTAAAAGATTAATTTAATGTAATATTTTATCTACAAGCTCAGTTGAAACTATGGTAAAATTTTTATCCATCATTACCTAAGATATTATTTTTCATCTGACCATCCAAACGTAGAATATAAATATAAATATATGTACATCAATTAATAAACATATAATGCACCAAATATTAATTTCTTCGCTCTTTATTAAAATAAGTTTATATTTTGGTGCTAAACTACTATAATATACGTGTGTAACGGGAAGATAAGATAAAAAAAATATTGATCCTAGTTAAACGCATTACAAAAATTGTGAAAAATGTATGGATAATAAATAATTTAAGAAATATATTCATGACAAGAAATTCCCAATAATAATATTTTGAAAAAAGTTATTATATTTTTAATTAATTTAGGTATCTGCAGCCTACTTCAAATATACATTGATACTTAAAAAAAATTCTAAAATCTACTCGACTTAGATAAATGTTTTTACCATTAAAATGTTCTTATACTCAGATTTACAAATGAGCTATTTTAAAATTTTCCACAAAAATTTGAATTTTAAGTATCAAGAAATAAAAATGAAAAAATGTAGGTATACTATAAATTATATAATACAAGTGTTCATAAATTATAGGTATAACAGAAAAACGTTTTTAAAATAATGATTTTAACATAAGTTATTGCATTAGTCAGTTTTTTCTGTTACTACGCCCTGTATACAATACACAAGGGGTCAGGAACGAATATTATCTGACCAGCAGACGAGAAATTTATTTTTGATTTTGACTTTACTTGCTCTTATGTACATATTATTTTGATGGCTCCCCGAAAACTTCCCCTTAATTTGGTTCTCCAAAAATATTTATTTAGTTTCTTGTTTTCACATCATTATATTAGGTTTTTTTAGCAGCTGGAAGAAAGCAATACATTGTCAAAGTATCCTTTTGATTTTGGACCTAATGGGAATTCATATATTTATGCAGATGATGATCATTCGATCTTGGGATTTAATCGAATTATGATGGTATAAAGGATTTGTAGTTCCATTCTCCTTATCAACCTCAAGTATAAACACTGAACACGTACCTACCTATTATAAATTATAATGGTATATAATATACACATATGCTATATAGATACATCAGAAAACATCAGAAAGTGTATAGTTGTATAGTACCTATAGTACTGTGAGATGTTAATAGCTAGAGACTAGACGAAATTAGTTGTATTATTTTGATTATTAACGTTGTTTTTTTCACGTGATTTTTGACAATAATTTAGACTTGCATAAACAATTTTAATAATGGTGTATTATCATGGATAAATCGTGAGCTACTAACAATATGGATAATAGGAATACCACTAAAATAATTTGATGTTTTCATAAATTAATTTTAACAATATTAAAGTAGGTAATAATTTTTTGTAGATATTATAAAATAACTGGTTCGGTACTTCAGTATTTGCTAATAATTAGGTATGGTATTTGATGTTGGCACTAACCACAAATCACAATGAATAGAACACGACGTGGTAATTCCAGAAGCTCTAATAATTTTTTTTTTATAATTTAAAAATCTACAGTAGGTACGATACTACAATATCAATAAATACGGTTTTAGATAAATATTTTCTATTTTTTTTTTCTCAGAATAATACATTAATTTGATATAAAATTTTCCAAAAAATATATACGCCATTCCGTCGTATCGTGCTTGTCTGTATGTGTTTAGGTGTATGTTATGACAATTTGAATATATTTTGTAAGACAATAATGTAAAAAAACAACATGTTTGTTATTCTCATCAAATTCAAATTACTATGTAGTTTTAATTTTTCTTTCCATATTATCGTAATTAAATATTGGTAATAAATAGTATTTAAATCATCGAACGTTATCACTTTACATCATAATATATAAATAGATATAAATATATAATATTATAGACGTATTATAAGGCATTATAATAATACATATAGTGAGCGCATAACTTTTCGCAAAGTTTTGTCGATTGTTTGAATTTCAAAGTAGATCGGTTATTCATATAGGTATATGATGTATATAGTATATATCACACTTTACGCATATATTCTAGGTACTTTTTAAGTGCACTCATACATAATATTATTATATGTGATGTACCTAATAATATAATATTATATTCAGACGTCTGATAATCGATTTGTGTATTATACTACGTATTAAGGTATTATTAGATTACACTATACGACCTAACCCATATAGTATAATGTTGAGTTTTCAACGATACTAATGTATAAAACACATCTACACATTATTATAATTCTATAATATACATGATAACATATTTGCATTACGCATCTCTACTTTTGCACGCACGTCGAAGTCGCGGAGAAATTTCGGAAGTATTTATTGTATTATATCTGCTCGGCGGCGTCGGCGAGGCAGGTTCAAGTTCGAATCGCGTCGAGTCGGCAAACGTTTACGCGCTCTTCAGAATAATTATTTTACTGACATATTATCGTTCCAGCAGACAATACGTACAATTATTATTAAAATAGTGTACGTGCGTATGCGTTATACGATAGTAATAATATGATCGTATTGTGCACGTGTGCACGCGCATCGCGTTCGAATGCGAACGTGGTAAATAATAAACGTATAAATTATTTAAATGGTCCAAGGGAAAAAGTTTAAAGTCATTACTATATTATTTCAACGGTAGTTTTTTTTTTTTTTTTTATCTTACCGCTGTTCTACGGAATTTTTCTATTTTCGCTCACCT